CGCTTGCGCTTTGCGGCGCGGCCGGGCGGCCCCGTTATTCATTGTCAGGCACGGGAAAACCTAGGTGTCATCGCCCCTGGAATTTTTCTTCCATCGATGTTCAGTTTCAGTCCAGTCCGGCTGTCTGTCCACCTGCAGCTTTTGCTCCGACCGAATTTGCCGGCTCTGGGGTTTCCCATGTCTTTACACTTAAATCTTTTTCGCTTTTCATTTGGATATTTACATGTGCGAGTTGAGCTGTTGGACGATAAGATTTACTTTTTTTCTAGATGTTTTTGTGTTAATGTAAGTATTTTTAGGGTTCACCTCCTATGATTAGGATTGGGCCTGGGAAGTTGAGCTAGAACTGCATTCTTGGCAGGACCTTAGAGACTAAATGAGGGTGAATTTTGCCACAGGGATCTCTAGACTTCTTAGGAGAAATGTGGCATTCTGAAATCACCGGATTATTTTTCTTTTAAATAAAACCTGTTATTAAAAGTAGTGAGGCCAACCTAGTTCCATTTCTGGATACACTTGTATTCTCTGGAACGTCTGACCAAATAAAATGATCAGGCTATTTGATTTGAATTCAGTACAGGTACTGTATGTGAATTCATTCCGTTAATTCAGATAAAGGGAAAGATAGCAATCTTATTGAAACACACAGCTAATTTTAAGAAAAAGTAATAGTTATTCTGTTCTGGCAGTTTTATGTTGTTTCACTTACTTTGGCAGGACTGGCAAAAAAGACAGTACGAAAATGTTCCTGGAATGAAATAGTCGACCTGCTGTGTCCAAGAGGGATACTCTACTTAAGATTGCTTTTTGGAGGGCCAGGGAATTAGCTCACTGGTTCCACCGGCTGCCTTGTGAGTGCAAGGATCTGAATTCGATCCCTGGTACCAAAAAATAAAAAAGAAAAGAAAAGAAGATTGCTTCTTATTTTTGATCTGGTTTATTGCCAATTTTAACTTATTTTTTGAACTCTTGATTTTAGTTTTCTCTTTTTGCTCTCTTTATAATCTACCAATAAACAGATCTTTTTACATAACTGCAGTTTAATGGCTGTAGATTGTAGTAGATAGGCGAGTTAAAATTTAGAGTTAAGGAGATTGTAATTCTTTTTTTTTTGGACTGGGAATTGAACTCAGGACCTTGGGCGTTGTGCTTGCCAGGCAGGTGGTAGAACCACTGAGCTAAATTCCCATCCAGGAGATTGTAATTCTTACATTTCTGTATTGCTATTAGTTTTCAGTCACCTTCCTCCTATATAATCTTATTTGATCTTTATACCAGTCTTCTGAGGAATGCCAGGAATAAAGTCTTTCCCCATTTCAAGATTGTGCAAGGATCAGAATTTCCTTATAGCGTGAAATAATGTTGCCAAAGCAGCCTTTGATATAAATTTAAATTCAGATAGGTTAAGATTAGAGTGTGCTGTAGCTCAGTGGCACAGTGCTTCTGGCAATCATGAGGCCATGCGATCCATTCCAGGACAAGAAAAAAAGATTGGAGTGCATGACCTATAACATGAAAGACCCAACTCTGTAAGAAAACTATGTAAAATACTGAAAAATTTTTGGTGACAAATGTAAATTGTCATTGTTAAGAAAGAAAAAAGAGTAAGTAATAGGTCTATTTTAGTGTAGTTTTAGTTAAATTTCCTTTTTCTTTTTGGCATTTTGAGACATCGCCTCGCTGTGTAGCCCAGGCTGGCCTTGAACTCTGAGTGATCCTCCTGCCTCAGCCTCCTGAGGCTGTAATTACCGGCGTGAGCTGGCATGCTTGATTCTCTTTAGTGTTAAAAGTGTTTTTTAAAATCTGTGTGTGAGCATTTTGCTGGAGCATTTTGATAAATAGGAATGTTGCAAAGAGTCTGATAAGAATACATTTGGTTTCACTGTCTGTAGGAAGGCCTGCATGGATTCTGTGCAGAACTGACTTATAGTCAAGTAGGATAGTTTTGTTTATTGTTTTTTAAAACAACTACAGTAAGTGCCTTAGGGTGTTATAAAAATTCTTTAGGAGTTAGGTAGGTGAGGGAGCCCTTTTTCTCCTGGTTGGGGCTTGGTGGAGATGGTAGTGTGAGGTGAATGAGCCCTTGATGTTCAACAGGTGATTGCTGGACGACACCTTCCCCCTTGCTTGTTTGTCCCCAGGCCCTGTCCTCCCCACACCACTGACCTGGAGCTCATTTCTAGTGTGATTGATGAATGGATTTCTGGAAAGAAACAAATTACATCTGAGAAAGGATCAGCGGGAGAATTTGGCTGATAGTGATTCACGATTAAGTAATAGAGAAGACAAATTATGAAAGACTGCATTGAAAGTATTTGGTCAGAAGAGGTATGGGGTTCATATGAATGTGAAATGAACTTTTAACTGGAAGAAGATAGAGACTGGAAAATTACTTGGTTGGCTTTAGGTTAAGATAGATCCTGACAACATCTCTTTTATTAACATGAATTAATGGTACACATTGTGGGGTTCAGTGTGATATATCAATACATGTATGTAGCAGACAGCATTGCTTTTGAGGGCTCTCTGAAGTGTATCTTGAACTCAGATTGTAGGATGAGAATATGGAGTCAGGCATCGTGGCACACATCTGTAATCCTTGCACTTGAGAGACTGAGGCAGGAAACTCACTGTGAGTTTGAGGCCAGCCTGGGCTACCTAGTGAGACCCTGTCTCAAAAACAAACAAAAAAAGATGACAGCATGGGTGTAGGTAAAATGTGCCAGGAAGCATAAGTGAAGGAATGAGTTGATAGAGTCACAGGAAGAAAAAGCCAATAGTAGATGGGCAATAGAAGGCTTGATGGTGTGGAGATTTTTGTGTAACTGCTTCAGAATTATCCTAACAGCTCTGGTGTTTTTCTTCCCCCGCTACACCACACTGATTGACACTGCTTCTTAAATGCTCCCCGGACTCCCAGGTGCTCTGCGTAGAAGCAGAGTGTGAGCTTCAGAGAGGCTGCAGAACTAAGGAGTGAAGCCGAGCTGCGTGAGGTGGGAAGCTGTCCATAGCAGCTGCCAGTCCAAATTGAGGGGAGAGAAGGGGTGGGAGGCCAGGTAGCACCTGTTGTCTGTAACAGGCATTCTCACTAAATGATCCAGATAAATTAAGGCCTTGATTTAGCAGGTAACCTAGAAGTTTAAAAGAAGTGGTGAAAAAAGTAGTGGAGTTTTGCAGCTGACAGGAAGTAAGGAGGGAATCAAAGATGGTGCTGAGGTTTGAAAATTTGTGATAGAGTGGTTGACAGAGAATCATTGATAGGCTTTCAAATTAGGTATTTCAGGAGAGGGAAAGAATTAGTGGCCATAGAGTAGAGAGTGCTAATGAGTCATTCACAAGGAAGAGGAGGGAAGATTTGAACAGTGCTGCCACTCCCGACTTGGATAACGTGTTCCCATACTTGATTGTAAGTTAGTCTCTGTGTGGTTGTATCAGTCTCTGTTCGGTCAGTCTCTGTATTTCCAGGGCTCAGTAGTCCTGAAATACAGCAATATAGTAAAAATATGTATTGAAGAAAATGAGACCACTTCCCATAGTTCTTAACTGTTTATAAAATCCTGAAAAATATTTATTTATTTGAGATCAGGTCTCACTTTGCAGTTCAGGCTGGCCTTGAACTCACTATGTAGCTCCAGCTGGCCTCAAACTTGTGGCCATCCTCCTGCCTCAGCCTCTCCAGAGTTCTTCAGCATTTACATGGGTTTACAGGCATGCTGAAGAATTTTAAATAGTTTTGGTGGAGACATTATTTAGATGACTAAAGTTTCATTACTAATATTATATTTCATTACTAATATTTTAGTCCTGTAAACAAAAAAGGTTGACAATTTTTCTTAAAATGGTTCTCATTTTAATATAGTAGTTGCATACATTTCTCAGTGTTTCTGCGTGGACTACATAGGTGTTTTTAATGACTATTCTTAACGATAGTGTGTTGTTATTAATCCTTGGTCTTACAGAGAAATGAGTCTTAGGGTGGAAATTACCATCAGCATATTTGAGCATTTTTATTAGAACTCAATCATATTCATCGATTCATTCACATTTTGGCCCTCTAATGTGTGGCACAATTATTTCACCTAGATAAGAATTGACCATATTTTATCATTCATTGGACAGATTTTTTTAATGAACCAATTTCTTTTTAGTAGGAAATAAAAATTAGTGCTTATAAATCTCAAAGGATTTTATGGGGAGTGGAGCTGTCCATTTTGGAGCTGTCCATTAGGCAGTGTTAAGAATAGATTCTTGAACAAAGCAGTTGCCCATAGAGAAATCAACTAGGAGCTGGGCATGGTGGAGCACGATTGTAATCCCAGCACTGGGGAGGCTGAGGCAAGACAGTCGCCCAGAGTTAGAAGCCAGTTTGGGCTAAATAGTGAGTTCAAGGCCAGTCTGAACTATAAAACAAGACCCTGTCTCACTGCTCCCCCACAAAGAAAATCAGATAGGAGACTATATAGTTATTTCAGTGGACATAAAGCACTCATTAATTAGATCTGTCCCTCCCTTACCTCTCTCTTTCTCTCTTTTTCTTTCTTTCTCACAGGGTCTTGCTATTCAGTTCAGACTGGTCTCAAACTGGTGGCAGTCCTCCTGCCTCAAGACTCCTAAGTGCTGAGGATTATAGGTGTATGCCACCACACCAATTTAATCAGACAGTTGGTCAAGGAAGCCAGATGTGGTGGGCTACATACTGAGTTTAAGGCAGTTTGAACTGCATAGTGAAACACTGTCTCAAAAAGAAGCCCCAACCCACCCCCGACCAAAAGAGTCAATGAGACAGTTGTTTCTTGGAAGAGGGAAATAAAAAAGATGATTTTAGGGCCAGAGATTTAACTCAGTGATTCTGTTACCTGCCTCACAAGTGCAAGGTCTGAGTTCGATCCCCAGTACCAAATTTTTTTTTTAATTTTATTTTTCTATATTATGGCTTGAATAAAAATGATTACAAGACCTTTCAGAACTGTGAAGTCTGCACAAATTTGAAGGCATTTCATCAGTATTTTAAAGAATAAGAAACACAGTTCTTTCAAAGATCTGTTATATTACATAGGTTAAAAGTGTCCATGAACTATGGATTGACTTAAAATGTTTTGCTTGTTATTGTATTCTTCACTGATATATCCATTCGTTGATTTCTTCACATTTGTTGGTTAGCAATATTTCATTATAAATATGGAAAGGTAAGCCATAAGCCATATTATATTGCATTTTTAGTATTAAAATAATTCTAAAGCATAATAGATAACCTGTACCTTTGGACCAGTCAGATTAGTTGAACTGGTAGGACCAAACCCTAAGCTGGAACTGTTGGTAATTTTCTTGCCTTGGCCTCTTGAGTAGCTGGGACTTTAGGCATATGCCACTGAAATGTATAGATTTTTTGTTTGGTTGTTTTTTTGGGCTCAGAAATGTACAGTTTTAAGTAAATTAAAAAGAGCTCAATATTCATTTTTTGGGATAAGGGTAATAAAACCCAAGCGAAATAGGGCATGAAGATTAAAGATAAAACTCCTTAATGGAATTGGAAACAGAACAGAAGAAAAATAATAGTAGTGGAAAGGTTAAATAGATCCCAAAGCTGTTTCTTTGCAAAGATCAATGAACTAATAAACCTCTTATAGAAGGAAAAAAATGGACCAAAAATACACAAGATTAGGAATAACATCATATACCTTCAAATACAAGAAAGAGCAACAGAATCTTACTCATATTTTTTTGTGAATATACATGTAACATGTGATGCTATTGATGTTTCGTGTATTATAGCAAAATAGTAAAAATGACTCAAGTAAAAACTTGAATTGATCAATTCCCACTGAAGGATTGAAAAGGTAATAAAAGATTTGTCCTTGAAAAAGGCAGTGTAATAGATGGTTTCACAGTTGACTTCATATAATTTATGAGCACATCATCATTATAAATAAAAACCCTACTCTCCACCATTGAAGATTCAGAGCTACTCAGTGCATTCTGAGAAACACATACTTTAATCTATAGTAAAAATTCTACCAAAAAGATCAGTCTCACTTCCCTCTAGAAATACAAAATTTCTCTCTCTCTCTCTCTCTGTATATATATATATTTTAAATTTTTATTTATTTATTTTTGAGACAGATTATATAGTTCAGGCTGGCCTTGAACTTCCACCTATCCTTCTGCCTCAGCCTCCCCACTGCTGGGATTACAAATATGTGCCACCACGCCCAGCCTGGAAATATAAAATTTCTAAATATTGTATTAGCTATTGGAATATAAGTAAGAAGTACACACTAGTGTTAGGTTTTTACCCAATGAGATATATTGTACCAATGCAAGGATTAAATGCTGAATCTGTTAATGTGCTAGATTATATCAACAAAAGAATCCAGAGATGTAGTAAGCCATCAGCAGCAGCTGGGAGGGCATTTGATAAAATCATCAAGACTATTTTTGGTTCTACAGATTGAACCCAGGATAATTCAGTGGTAGAACACTTCAGAACCTGCTTAGCATGTACATGGCCAAAAACAAAAAACACATACAGACCAGTGGAATAGAAAGAATAGAAAGCCCAGGAAAAAACCTCACATATATGGTCAAATGAGCATTGATTATTGGCTCAAGATCATTCAGTGAAGAAAGGAGGAGATGACATCAGAAACACAGACAAAATCAGAAATAGGTTTGGATTAAAACAGTGTGTACCGAGCTCCTTCCATGTGGCAGATATTCTGCTAGGAGCCTGCACAAGGAAGATAAATAACCAGGACTTCAAATTGCTCATTGATTGATACAAGAGTAGACACAAAAATACAAGGAAAGGCTTGCTTTTTTTTTGCAGTACTGGAGATCAAACTCAGGACCTTGTGCTTGCGAGGCATGCACGGTGTCACTGAGCTAAATCTCTGGCCCTGGGAAAAGCTTATTGACATTGGTCTTGGAAAAAACTTTTTGGATATAATACTAAATGCACAGGCAACAAAGGCAAAAATCAAGTGGCACCACACTTGATAAAAAGGTGTCACACAGCAAAGAAACAGTAAACAAAATGAAAAGGCAACATACTGAATGGGAGGCCTTACCTTAGCTTCTTGAGTAGCTGGAATTACTACTACTTGAGTAGCTGGAATTACAGGTGTGTGGTGTGTACCACCTTGCCTAGCTTTATGTTTTGTGTATTTTATCACAACAAAAAATATTTGAAATGTTAAGTTAGAAGAAATACTTTGCAATATGAAAGACCAAGGATTGATTTTATAAGAAGCTATGGACCTGATAATAAAGGCAAAGATTTAACAAAACAAGGAGTAAGAGAAAAATCTAGGCCATAATATTCATGAAAA